GGTGGTGGTGTCAGGTGGTGGAGGGGCTGCCTGGAGCATTAGGGTGCTGAAAGCGTGGAGCCATGTAGCTAGGTGGCAGGCAGGAGTCTGGCCCCCAGCTGGCTGGTCTGACAGGGTGCAAATTTATGCCTGCAGTCAGCGCTTACACTCGCATTTAATCACAGTAAAGTACCCTGGTGTAAGATAGTATTGTCCCTGACAGTACAATCTCACTGCAGCATTAACTAGTTTACTGTTGCTTAATGCCATCTCATGTGTAGACAGTGATACTTTACTTCGCAGCTAATTAGTCTACCCTGAAGCTCAGTGCATGTGTAGCCACTATGGATGAAACAATCTTTACAAATCATTGCAAAAGGCTTTCACTTTTCTTGCTTTAAGGCACAAATAAATCAGCCCATTAGCTCTCAGGAGAATCATCATTTGGCTAATCCTTTTTATGAACAGTTCTTCACCAATCCTGGTGAAAACATTGGCTGATTATTCTTAGAGGCTTTAGCATAATGTAGCATGTGAACCTGTACTACACCTACAGGAAGCAACAGGGCAAAGAGACTAGAGAGAATGGGACAAAGCATGAAGAGAGCTGATGAGTCAGGAAACTATTCTCTTCAGACTCCAGCAAACCCAGCTGAGGACTAATTAAATACAAATGTTTCACCAGTTCCTGTTTATACCCAGGAGGAAGTTTGATTCCCTGTTTACCCAAATGATTCCATTTTCTTAACCAATCCATAGAGCTTTCAGGACACAAAAACATCTCAAAGGACCTTTAAGAGCAACTGCTTTTAAATTAAGGGAGAATGAGAGAAGGCCCAGAATAGCAGAGCATTCATTTCAGAGAGAAGTGTTCGCCATCCCCTATTCCCATCATTGGTTATTATCTCCTCTGTGCATAATGAAAGAAATAGGGACCTGCTGCACAATTGGGGCCAGAATTTTAAAGATCTTTAGGCACTCAGGGGGATTTTCAACAATTCTTAAGGAGCCTAATTCCCATTGAAATCAGGGGTTAGATGTCTTGGTACTTTTAAAAATCCCATCAGGTGCCGTAAGGCTTCATAGTACTCCCCTCCCCTTCTCTCACCTGTCCTAGCAGTGAACACAGTTAAACTGCAATGGAGCATCTTGCCTAGGGAACACCAACATATAGACTTTTTTTTTTTTTAAAGTGCACCGTATCTTACAATGCTTATTATTAGAGCCCCATAGGACTTCAGACTTTTCTTGTCCCCTGTGAGGAGGCTTACAGAGCTCTAACAAACATGGAGAAAACCAGCAGCATTTGTCTGCTGCCCAATGTAAGATATATACAGCTCTGCATAAAATCGCTTATGGCAAAGCCTGACTTTCTATTACTCAATTATCTTCATGTCTGACTGAGATCAGCTAGTGAATAAAAGGCAGATGGTTAAAATTAAATCTAACCAAGACCAAAGTGATACTGGTGGGAAGATGTTGGTGACCTGCTTACCATTATAGCATCCTTCCCTGTTGACAGTCTGCTGTCCAGTAGTCAAGTCAGTTCATAGCTTTGGAATTTTACTGGATTCTTCTTTGGTCCTTAACACTCAAATGTGCCCTGGTACCACAGATGCCCTCTTTCATCTGTGACTGGCAAAGAGGCTGCATCCTTTGCTGTCTGGCTATCGTGCCGCACGATTGTCTGACTACCAGGCTGAACTGCAGCAGATCATTCTACTTTGGAATGAGCGAGCAGACAGAGCATCCCAACTTGTCCAGAACTAGACAGCTCCTCTGTAGAGCAGTATCAGTAGCCAAGACTATTTCTCTAGTACTTCACCCGTTACACTGGATGCCCACAGGATACCAGGATCTGCAAGTTCATCACTGGCATTAGGCCAAGCAGCTGAAAAGATCACCTCTCATTTAGGGATACCTCCCTCCCATAACAGTCACATTCCACTAAAATGATGAAATCTTTAATCTCATAATCACCCCCCAGCCAAATGCCCCAGACAACCTGTTTTGAGGCTGGCAAAGCTTTGGTTCTCTTTGTTTCCCCTCCTCCCTGCATCCCCAATTCCTGACTGTTTCAGATTTCCTTGAGGAACTTGGATGAATCATTTTATTTCTGTGCTTCAGTTCCATGTCTGTGAAATAGGCATAACGTTTTTCCCTTTTTTTACTCTGCCTTGTCTATATTGATTAGAAGCCTTCCCAATTGATAGGCTATAGCTCAAAAGTTATGGGCTAGATTCAGTAATTACTGGATAAAATTCATGTGTTATGAAGGGAGTCGGATATGTGACCATAGTGATCCCTTGTAGCCTTAACAATGGGGGACACAGAGTTCCTAGCTTCTAGCTTTGTGTTTGTTTTACCAGACAATCCTACTTTTGCTTTCTATAAAGATGTTTGGATAAAACACATAAACTTTTTCATGCCCAGTTAAAACTTGCAGAGCTCTCCTAGTGTTAGATGGAACACTGAGTGGGGTCTTTCCCACTAGACACAAGCTCACAAGTCTTCATTTTTTTAAAAACTGAGCTTTGATGGAGTTTTTTTAAAAAAGAGTAAAATAGGAACAAGTGAAGGTGCTATTGAGAATTTGATATTAAAAGTTGTTGCGGGATTAGAAAAAGTCTAGTGATCTTTAAAGCTAATATGTTCACCAAGTCCGGGCTCTGTAGAATAACCTTTTTCTCATTAAATGTACTGTATTAATGAAACAGATTTATAAAGGGCACCTGCTCGGGCCTCTTTGGCAATAAATTGTTAAAGAGAGTCAGACCTTCCAGCTAAAAAAAATCACACGTGGTAGTTAATTAAGGAGCATTAATAGGACTCTTATTAATCAGAGGTGATAGTATCACCCTAAAAGCTTCTTCTGAAATGGTCCCATATTACAGTTTCAGAGAGCAGTTAAGCAGCCTCCAATGTAAGTATAGCTTGAGATAACAGCATTAACAAGGGACACATTAATATATAGCACATTGATGTCTTTTCTTTAATAGTCATATTTTGCTGGGGAGTTAGGAAGGAGAAACTTTTTTAATGTTTGACCTAAAGGGAAAGAATGTATTTAAAGTGGATTCTTCAAATCTTCAGGTGAGGCTCCAGGAAAGTCCTATATAACCAGATTTATTGATTGATTAAGAGCTAGCTGATTGATCTTCTCAGCAAGAAACGGAGCAGGTGGAAGGAAATAGTATGTCTCCAACGAGATCGCTATTGCTGCAGGATGTCTATCTCTGTGCTGCAGACCTTAATGGTGTGAAGAAGTCTACAGAGTCTGTGATGCTGGCTCAGGTTTGTTCTCTGATCTTTTTGAGGTTTCCCAATCCCTGCTTATGATCCAGAGGATGTCACCATATCTTACCGCATACCATACAACCCCACCCCCCAAGTAAGACATGCAGCTTGTTTTTAGAAGGTAGAATGAAGAAAAAAAAGGTATTTTTTCCAAAGTCATGGAAGTAGTTGTGAGAGGGTTAAACTTCTAACTTTTGACTGAATAACAAGGGAAGGGTTGAACAACCATTCTAATGTTCTCATGTCTCTGTTCTGGCTTAACACACACCTCCCAATTTTGGATGGCTATTTTTGGGGGGAAGGGTGTGAGGTATGCAAGTAAATTTGGGGATTTGAAAATAAATAATAAAAACTTTCCTCCATACTGTTAAATATACATAAACAGTAGGGCTGTGCAAAGCTTTGGGTGCTGATTCTATTCGAAGGAATTTTGGCCTGATTTGGTGGCCAAATCTCTGAATCCAAGTTGAATCAGGGGACCAAGTAAAAGGTCTGAATTGATTTGAAGCTCTGTGAATTGATTCGGAAAAGATTTGGAGAGCTTCAGTGATTTGGGCAGTCCCCGTCCGCTGCAGCAGACTCCATGCTGGTAAGTAGAGGGC